GGGATGGCCAACGAGATAGCCCATTGGTGGGAATGAAAAATAACGCATTATTTTTGTGGGGCAATTTTGCAGTATCTACCAACATTTTTAGCACACATGCCCTTTGATCCAGAAATCCCTTTTCTGAGAATTTACCTATATTCCCACAGCTATGTAAAAGATAATTAATGCAGCACAAAAACATATGTAATGTGGCACGGTTTGCAGAGCAAAAATCTGGAAGTTACCAAAATGTTCAAGACAGAACTGGTTAAATTATGGAATATCCTAAAATGAAACCTTCTGAAGAATAAGGTTGATGCTCCTGTACTGAATTGGAAAGATGGATGTGATATTAGCAAGTGAAAAAACAGGTTGCAGTTTTGTAGACAGTATGATTCTATTTGTGTAGAGATAACAGGTCTTGGAGGATCCACCAGCATCTGCTAACAATGGGTAACTCTGAGAAGCAAGACTGGGAAACAGAGTGGGAAAGCCAATTGGAAAACATTCACTTTTTTGAATGAATTAGTTTACTATGTCCTTTCGTTACTTTTTTGTCTTTTATTGTGGTGAAATATACACAACATAAAATGTGCCACTTTTTAACCCTTTATTTATTTATTTATTTATTTATTCATTTATTTATTTTGTGAGACAGAGTCTCGCTCTGTTGCCCAGGCTGGAGTACAGTGGCACGATCTCGGCTCACTGCAAGCTCCGCCTCCCAGGTTCACGCCATTCTCCTGCCTCAGCCTCCTGAGTAGCTGGGACTACAGGTGCCCACCACCATGTCCAGCTAATTTTTGTATTTTTAGGAGAGACAGGGTTTCACCGTGTTAGCCAGGATGGTCTCCATCTCCTGACCTCATGATCCGCCCACCTCAGCCTCCTTAAGTGCTGGGATTACAGGCGTGAGCCACCGCGCCTGGCCTTAACCATTTTAAAGTGTACAGTTCAGTGGCATTAAGTGCGTTCACATGGCTGTGCAACCATCACCACCATCCATCTCCAGAACATCTCATCTTCCCACACTGAAACTGTACCCATTAGACACTAACTCATTTCCCCTGCCCCTCAGGCTCTGGTTGCCACTATTCTGTATTCTTTCTCTATGAATTTTCCTATGTACTTCATGTAAATAGAATCATACAGGATTTTTCCTTTTGTGTCTGGCTGATTTCACTTAGTGTAATTGTTTTCAAGGTTCACCCATGTTATAGCATGTATCAGAATTCCCTTCCCGTTTTTTTGTTTTTGTTTTTGTTTTTTGTTTTTTTTGAGATGGAGTTTCCCTCTTTTTGCCCAGGCTGGAGTACAGTGGCGCAATCTCAGCTCACTGCAACCTCCGTCTCCCCGGTTCCAGCGATTAGCTGGGATTACAGGTACCCACCACTATGCCCAGCTAATTTTCGTATCTTTTAGTAGAGACTGGGTTTCACCATGTTGGCTAGGCTGGTCTCGAACTCTTGACCTCAGGTGATCCACCCGCCTCAGCCTCCCAAAGTGCTGGAATTACAGGCATGAGCCACCGCGCCCAGCCAACTTCCTTTCTTTTTAAGGCTACATAATATTCCATTGTATGACTACAACACATTTTGCTTATTTATTCTCCTGTTGATAAACATTTGGGTTGTTTTCACTTTTTGACCCTCGTGAATAATGCTGCTATGAGCATGGGTGTATAGCTATCTATCTGTTTGAATCCCTGCTTTCAATTCTTTGAGGTATAGACCTAAATGAGGAATTGTTGGATCATATATTGATTCTATGTTTAATTTTTTGGGAACTGTCTTACTGTCTTCCACAGAGGCGACATACCATGTTATATTCCCAGTCAGGCTCACCTCTGTAATCTCAGCACTTTGGAACGATGAGGTGGGAGGATCGCATGTGCCCAGGAGTTCAAGGTTTCAGTGTGCTATGAAAGCTCCGCTGCACTCAGCCTGGGCCACGGTGAGACCTTGTCTCTAAAAAACATTAAAAATTAAAATTAAAATGCATTCCCCCAGCAATGCACAAGGATTCCAATGTCTCCACTTCTAAAACTGCATTGTGTTTTTTAAATCTCACTCTTTTGACTTCAATAAGTTCTCTAATTTGTACCTCTCATTAACATTATGTTTATATTACAAATTCTGAGAGAGCAGGGATCTTCGAAGGGTGGATGGTCAGGAGTTTGAGACCATCCTGGCCAACATGGTGAAACCTTGTCTATACTAAAATTACAAAACTTAGCCGGGCGTGGCGGCGCACCCTGTAATCCCAGCTACTGGGGAGGCTGAGGAAAGAGAATCACTTGAGCCCGGGAGGCAAAGGCTGCAGTGAGCCGAGATCGCACCACTGCACTCCAGCCTGGGTGACAGAGCGAGACTACGTCTCAAAAAAAAAAAAAAAAAACCATCCTGGGCGTGGTGGTAGGTGCCGGTCATCCCAGCTACTTGGGAGGCTGAGCAGGAAAACGCTTGAACCCAGAAGTGGAGGTTGCAGTGAGCTGAGAGGGACCACTGGCACTCCGCCTGGCGACCACAGAGCAAGACTCCATCTCAATCAATCAATACATAAAATAGATAAAGAGATAAATAAATAAATGCATTAACCATTTGTTTAAAATCAGTGGAGACCTCCAGGAGGAGGAAAGAACCAGTAAACCCTCAAAGCTTAGGTGTCTTCTGAACATGATAGCCTGGGGACAGCTGCCCCATGCCAGCCCCATGGCCATGCTCCCCTCACATTCACCACGGATCCTAGTCCTGTCAGGGCAGGCATTGAGAGGTGATGATATGGGTCTACTGAAGGTCTCACGGGCATTCCAGAGTCCAGAACACGGTTTCATTTGAAAACTTCTGGGTGAACCAAAACCCAGCACCCACCTTCCGCACCCACCCTCCCCCACTAGGGTCTAAAGGTTCAGAAAGGGCCCAGCATGGGGGCTGACCTGAAGCCCAGGTGGATTTCCAATGAACGTGGCTCCAGACTGCTTGTTAAATAGAACCACTGTGGGCCGGTGTGGTGGCTCATGCCTGTGATCCCAGCATCTAGGGCCAGCGAGGTGGCGGATCACGTGGAGGTCAGGAGTTCGAGACCAGCGTGACCAACATAGCGAAACTCCGTCTCTACTAAAAATACAAAAATTAGCTGGCGTGGTGGCGTGTGCCTGTAATCCGCAGCTACTCCGGAGGCTGAGGCAGGAGAATTGCTTGAACCTGGGAGACAGAGCTTGCAGTGAGCCGAGATTGCACCATTGCCTCCAGCCTGGGCAACAGAGGGAGACTCCGTCTCAAAAAATAAAAAAAAAAAAAATTAGGACACCCTGTTTGCCCTTTTTGGTCACATGAGTCTTGCAGAGCATGAGCAGTTCTCTCCTGGGACCGCCTCATTTGTTTACCTACTATCAATTTTATCGCCAGATTTGCTCTCACTCTATGCCGCAACTACAGATGCACAGCGATGCACACCTCGGAGGCTGCTCTGTGCTCCTGCCTCATTTCCATGGAGACATGGCTGGGGGCTTTGGGGACAGGGAGGTGTGTGTAGGGGCTGCCTGGGGAGCGCAGGGAGGAGCAGGGGTGCTGGCACTCCACTTCTTTCCCGCCCCCTCCAGCCTTACTTCTGGGTCATTCCTTCCCTCGCCCACTTTGACCCATTCTCCAGACAGCAGGAGAGACCTGGTATGAATGAGAGAATTGGTGTTTAGAAAAATCAAACACCTTGCTTAAGGCGGCTCACTAGTAAGTGGGAAACCAGTCCTCAAATTCAGATTTTCTGATTTGTTTTTCGTCTTCTGGAGCCAACAGGCCGGTGTCTCATCCTCTTACTGCTTGGTCTTTGTTGGGTCTTAGTTATGAACAAACCCAAATGACAGTGCCTGGATTTTAATGGGGTCACAATTTAAATATTTTCATTTTCTCGAGGGATCCAAAGATCCTGTATTAACCCAGGCTGGTAAAATAGCTAGCGCTAAGTAGGGAGAACTTTCTGGAACTCTCAAATTGCAGCATCTTGGTGTTCAGTAGCTGAGTCATCAAGCCCAGGTCCATGCACTCATTCCCTTCCTTAGCACCCCTGCCCACTCTGCCAGTGACTCATCCTCCCGCACCTTCGCTCTTCTCTCCTGTGCCCGTTTGCTCCCCACCCAGCTTTGCCACACCAGGGCTCTCCTGCCTGCCTTCAGGGTGACGAGAGGCAGAAGTCACAGGACTGGGGAGAACCTGACCCCAATTAGGATGAAATGGTTCCAGCATCGCAGTGAGGCATTTCATTGAGGTGAGACAGGGCTTTGGAGGGAGAGTGAAGGTGTCCTTGGGTTGGGGGATGCAGAGCTTTAGCTGGCTCTGGTTGCAGCTCCCAGGTGAGCATGGAAGTGAGGGAGGTATGGGATGGGTCAAGGGGACCTCTGCCTAAAAGGAAGTCAGGATGGTTGAGGGGCTGGGAGGACGGCACAGGAGGAGCGTAGATCACGAAGGACCAAGGCAGGAGAAGCTGGGCAGAAATGGGCCCTGAGGAGCGGGGAGGGAGTTGCTGTTGTTACTGTTGCCGCCTGGCTGCCGAAGCCAGAGGTCAAGTTCAGGCATGCTGGTTTCTAAGGAGATGAGCTCATGAGCTCTGACGCTCACTCTGCAGGAGCCTCTAGCATGAGTCACCATCAGCGAGGTTTCTCTGGTTCTAGCCTCACTCCTCGCAGCAGTCGAAGTCCAGGAGACAGGGTGTGGTTGTTCCAGACAGAGTCACATGCCCTGGCAACCTGGCGGGGGAGGGATGCTTCCCCTGAGGAGGCACCTGACCTGAACAGGTGACACCCTGGAAGGAGATGTGGCTGCTGCATCCAGGAAACGGAGTAAATGTTGGGAGGTGAGATGACTAAAAATCATCCAGTCCAGTAGTGAAAAGACTGGCCTTTGAATCTATCCCTAAACATGAGGATTTGAATTGCTCAGTGGCTTTAAAAATATCTAAAAGATATTGTGTCAAATTGCCAAATAACTCCCAGGCACTTCCTCTGCCTTAGCCATTTCTGGGGCTCTCATCAGGTCTGTAGCTCCAGGTAATGGTCCAGCTGCTGATCCTTGTGGAATGAGACATGTGAAGCTCTGTGTATGAGTTACTGTTTGGGTTGTGACATTTCTCACTGCAGATATACTGCCAAGCCTCACTCCCAGGTTCTACAGCCACCCACAAGACATACGGAGGCTTCTCTGGAAGCAGGCCCTGAGAGGCCCACCCAGCCCACTGTGACTTCACACCCAGGAGTGTTAAAGGCTAGAATTCTCCTCCAGCTGGACTAAGCAACGTCCCGACTTAACACAGACGAGTAATACATATGCATCAGGGTGCAGTACTGTTTCGGTCACTAAACGCTGACAACAACCTAACGTCAATCAGGGGAAGATGTACTAAATAAATCATGGTGCGTCGTCTAGCACGCTTCCAGGAAAAAAAAAAAAAAAGAAGAAGAAGAAATCATGGTTCATTCACTGTTCAGCCATCTAAGAGAATAAGGTAGCACTCTGTTTGTATGAAAATGGAATGATCCCCGATCTATGCTGTTCAAAGCAAGGTGCCAAACATTGGGCAGAGCACAACATCCCTTGTGTAAAAACTGCACACATATTTTAGGCCCTCTCACATGTATATGTGGCAGGAACAAAATTATTAAAGCGGAAGCATTCAGTTTCCCCACCACCCCCTAAGGAATCAAGGAACTCCACAAGGCAGTAAAAAAAGCAGACGGTAGGAGTGCAGAGTCAAAGAGAGAGGGAGTACCTGAGAGAAAGAGAAAGGAAGACACTTGGGGGGTCAGAGAAAAAAAACAGTGTTTTTAAGAAGCTTTGCAGGGTGGTATTGTAGAAGGCAATTTTCATTCTTTTGAGCCATCCAGCATCTGATCCTCTGTCTGTTAAAGGAACCCCGTCTTTAGAAGGCAGAATTCCCTTCACAGTAGAAGCTGAAAATGCCAGAGACTCACGTCCTCAGTTTTCCTTGCAGGGAGGGTTGGGACTGGTCACTCCACCAATCAAATCCTGGGCAACATGGCGAGAAACCTTCTCTACAATAAAATACAAAAATTAGCTGGGCGTGGTGGTGTGTGCCTGTGGCCCCAGCTACTTGGGAGGCTGAGGTGGGAGGATTGCCTGAGCCTGGGAGGTTGAGGCTACAGTGAGCAGAGACCCTGTCTCAAAAAAAGAAAGAAAAAGAAATTAGTCACAAGAAGCACTCTGTAAAACCCACGCAGTCCATGAGGTGGCAGTGGTGGCAATACCTCCAGTCTCCTGGGTGGCAGTTGGAGCTGTCCACGCAGCCAGCAACCCGGACCCAGAGTGGGTGTCATCGTGTTGCAAGCTGCAGCCACCAGTGCCTATGTCTGTGGTCACGTTCTAACCAGACCAACTCTGCCGCATGATTCTGGGGGTTGGTCTCGTCTGCAGAGCCTCCTAGCTGTGAGTTATCCAGAGATTCTATGAGCACTAGTATTGTCTAACAGAAAACAATGATTTCCGTTGCTTACAGCTGCAAATCCTGAGACACAAATATGTGTGTTGTGCGCCTCTGTCCTTAGCACTCTCCAGGGATTTTTTTTTTTTTTTTGAGACGGAGTCTTGCTCTGTCGCCCAGGCTGGAGTGCAGTGGCGCGATCTCGGCTCACTGCAAGTTCCGCCTCCTAGGTTCACGCCAATTCTGCTGTCTCAGCCTCCCCAGCGGCTGGGACTACAGGTGCCCGCCACCACACCCAGCTAATTTTTTGTATTTTTTAGTAGAGACGGGGTTTCACCGTGTTAGCTGGGATGGTCTTGATCTCCTGACCTTGTGATCCGCCCGCCTCGGCCTCCCAAAGTGCTGGGATTACAGGTGTGAGCCACTGCGCCCGGCCTCCAGGGATCTTAAGTAAAGAACTAGACTAGTTCAAACATGAGGTCAGATTTGTATTTCTTTTACACAGTCACTGTGCTAAGGCAAGAGCATGGACACCCGGTTTTATTGGGGTGACATCAAACGTGCATATCACACATTGTGAATGTTAGGAAAGATACTCACGGATCTGTTCACAGTGGCTGTCCCTGAGAAATGAGAATGCCATGGGGAGGAGGAATTTTTCTTCTCATTTTACATTTTTCCATTACGGTTTGAATTTTTTTTTTACAATATTCATGTATTATCTTTAAATTTTTAAAGTTTAATATAATTATTTTTAAAAGAAAAGGAATACGTCTACAAATATATCAGAATGTGTACATGAGAGAAAAGATAAAGTAATATATGCATTCTGGCAAAAGACAGAGCCTTTGGAAGAAGCAGGTGGTGAGGAACTGGTAGTCTGCTAACGTCAGCTGAGAATCTTAATTTGGTGGGCTGTCAGTAGTGCAGACTTTTTTTTAAGTTTCTATTTGGCATATCTTTTCTTTTTTTAAGAGACGGGGTCTCACTCTGTTGCCCAGGCTGGAGTGCAGTGGCAGGGTCAAAGTTCACTGCAGCCTCAATCTCCTGGACTCAAATGATCCTCCTACCTCAGCTTCCCAAGTAGCTGGGACTACAGGTGCATACCGCTAGACCCGGGTAATTTTTAAAACTTTTTTTAGGAACAGCATCTTGCTATGTTGTCCAGGCAGGTCTCAAAGTCCTAGCCTCAAGCCATCCTCCCGCCTTAGCTTCCTGAGTTGCTGGCATTACAGGCATGAGCCACCTTGCCTGACCTGGTTTAAAAACATAAATAGAAGAGGAGGTTTTGAGTGAAAATTTGATATGTCGGTTATATTTGTGTGTGTGTGTGTGTGTGTGTGTGTGTGCACATGAGGTCTCACTATGTTGCCCAGGATCTAGGACGTGAATTCCTGTTCTCAAGCAATCCTCCTGCCTCAACCTCCAGAGTAACTGAAACTACAGACGCCAGAGTAACTGGGACTACAGGTATGCAGCAGTGCACCCAGCTACAATTACTTGTGTGTGTAGGCTTGGGGGTATTTCTGAATGAATGATGGAAGAGTATGACCACCGTTGTTGTCCATTTATATTCAGGACCCCAGAGAAAATCAGACAGCCTCTGTCAGACTCCTCACACCCTCTGTGCCAGCATCAAAAGGAGACCAGGTCCAGGTGAGGGGGTGAAGGAGCCTTCCTCTGCCTGCTCTCTCTGAAGGTTCTGGGTAGGCTCAGGAAAGAAGGGTGACACCATGCTCACCTTCATCACTCTGAGGCGGGTCAACCGCCTAGCTCAGGGCATCTTCATCAGGAGGGCACAGGGGTGTGGGCTGGCCGCTGGCTTCATTTTGTTTTTGGAATTTGATGTTCATCCCCACAGGCAAACAGATGAGTAACGTCATGAAAAGCAGACTCAAGGATGGAACACCCACGATGGCTGTCGGCAGATCCACTTTCCACCTCCAGACGATGCCTCCGGCGAGTGCCCCCCCACCGTGCAGTCAGAGCCACCACCAACAGCAGAATCCTAGTGCTCTGGCCCGACCCTACTCTCCTCTGACAGTGGGGAGAAGGGCCAGTGGGGACCCTGGCCTTTGCTCTCAACTCACTCCCTCTTCACTCTAGGGCAGGAGCCATGAACTCAGTCCCCACCTGTCTTGATCACTGGGCCTGGGGTGAAAGGCAGGGTGGCCCAGGGAGCAGAGGGCATGGAAAGTCGTGTGTGGAAACATACCCTGACTGTAAAAAAAACGAGCAGTCAAGAGCGAAAGGTCACAGTGAGTGAGTTCCTGCTCCAGCCTGCTCCTGGTTCTTAGGTGCTAGAATGAGAAGATGGGTTGTGGGCTGAGGGCAAAATAAATATTTTTGATGTAGGAAACTTAAGACTGCAGAGGCTGGCCAGGCATGGTGGCTCATGCTTATAATCCTAGCACTTGCAGAGGGTGAGCTGGCAGGATCACTTAAGCCCATAAGTCTGAGACCAGCCTGGGCAACATGGTGAGTCACCATCTCTATAAAAAATACAAAAGTTAGCCAGACATGGTGTTGTGTGCCTGTGGTCTCAGCTACCCGGGAGGCTAAGGCAGGAGGATTGCTTGAGCCAGGGAGGCAGAGGTTGCAGTGAGCTGAGATTGCACCACTGCACTCCAGCCTGGGCGACAGAGAGACCCTGTCTCAAAAACTGTTACTGAGGGCCTGAGGGGAAAAAAAAATTTTTTAAAGACTACAGAGGCTTTTTGATGAGAAGATTCTCACAAAAACTACAAAGATTAATACCAGGTGCAGCTCGGTTAAAGAAAAATGAATGAGGATGATTAATTGTAATAACAACCTGTATATATTTGTTGTAACCTCCTGGTTTACAGAGAACTTTCCTTTAAACTAATACAGTTGATCTTCACAGCATCGTTCAAGGCAGGGAACATATTTTATCCAGGCTCAAGGTCATGCTGTAAAATTGTGCATCAATTCAGAAAAGCACTTTAAAGATCTAATTCATTGACTAATACTGTTTGACACTGTTAGATAGAATTGGCTGTAGCATTGAAATTAACTAAAGCATATTGAGATCTTTGTGATATCCATAGAGTCATCTTTGAAGTCTCCATGTTGAGTGGCAGGGCCCGGCTCAGACGTTGTCTTTTCCTTCTCAGCCCTCCCCCTGGCTTTGCTCAGCAGCACAGCCTCCGTGTATAACCCATGCCCAAGCTGTCCCTTAGCTTACATGTTTGTCTGCAGAGCCAAGAGTTTGTGATTGGCCAGTATTTGCTTTTCAAAAACTTTTTTCTAGATTTACTTTTATTGTAATAAAACTTTTATTAGAAAAAGCACCTAAATGTATGGATCACATCAAATAATCTCTGAGTTGGCCATGTCCAGGGAAAACCGGCCTGTAGACCCCAGGTGGACAGCAGGACCCTGGCATGAGGGCAGTCAGTGCTCCTCCAGAAGGCCAGCACAGGGCCTGGGGGCAGTGGAGAATGGCCCCCAAAATGGGAAATAATGCATATCCAACCTGCCTCCCAGGGATGCTGGAGAAATACTGCATTGTCAGTGGGAGAACCACTTTGCCCTGGGTAGACATGCGCTGCTACCGTATTTGTAGGAATGTTACCATTGTTATTTTAATGGATGCCTTCTCTTCTTTCTGCCAGGCACTTTGAGTCTCTCTGGAAGGTCCAAGCCTCATGGAAATATGAAACATTGTGTGCAGATGAACACCATGAGTTAAAGGTATAGAAAGCTGGCAGGTAGGCGGGGCATGGTGGTTCACACCCGTAATCCCAGCCATTTGGGAGGCCAAGGTGGGAGGATTGCTTGAGCTCAGGAGTTTGATACCAGCCTGGGCAACATAGTAAGACCCCATCTCTTAAAAAAAAAAAATTAAAAATTAGTAGGGTGTGCTGGTGTGCGCCTGTAGTCCCAATTACTTGGAAGCTGAGGTAGGTGGACTTGAGCCCAGCCTTAGTAACAGAGCAAGACCTTGTCTTAAAAAAAAAAAAAATGCTGGTAGGTGGCTCCTCAGGAAAGTCTCAGGGTATCTGTTGCCAGCTTACTGGGGAGCCCTGCCCACACGAAGCTCGTAGCCAAAGCCATTCTGTCGCTGAGAGATAACTTGGCCTTGTCTCCTCCCGCCTTCACGGCCCCGTCCCTGCTTGGAAGCCCCGCTCCACTGCAGTCACGGTCGTCATTACACTGGAGCTGAAGCTGGTTCTGCCTCTCCAGCTGTCTGTGAGCTGCAAGGAGGCCGGGACTGTGCTTCAGGCTGTGGAGGGAAGTGAGAGAATGGGAGAAGCCGCCTGTGGGGAGCGGGAAGGCTTGGGGCCTGGGTTCCTGCTGCTCAGCCAAGGAACACCTGTAGGTTTCTGAACCTCTTTTTCCATCTGTAAAATGGGGGAAATAAGCCCTGCCTACGTCATCGGGCTTAAAGCTGCACTGTCCACTATGGGAAGCACTAACCACTGTGGCTAACAAGCCCGGGAGGTGTGGCTAGTCCCAATTCACATGTGCTCCAAGTGGAAAATATGCACCAGATTTCAAGGCTGGTACCAATATGCACCAGATTTCAAGGCTGGTACCAAAAACTGATATCAAGTCCCTCAATAAGTTTTATGTTCCTTATGTGTTGAAATAATATTTTTGATATATTAGGTAAAAGCACATATTATTAAAATTAATTCCGGCCAGGCGCGGTGGCTCACTCCTATAATCCTAACACTTTGGGAGACCAAGGGAGGCGGATCACCTGAGGTCAGGAGTTAAAGACCAGCCTGACCAACATGGTGAAATCCCGTCTCTACTAAAAATGCAAAATTAGCCGGGCGTGGTGGCGCATGCCTGTGATCCCAGCTACTCAGGAGGCTGAGGCAGGATAATCGCTTGAACCTGGGAGGCAGAGGTTGCGGTGAGTCAAGATGGCACCATTACACTCCAGCCTGGGCAACAAGAGCGAAACTCCATCTGAAATAATAATAATAATTAATTCTTTCTGTTTGTTGTTATTGTTGTTGTTGTTGTTGTTTTTGAGACAGGGTCTCACTCTGTCGCCCAGGCTGGAGTGCAATGACATGATCATCGCTCACTGCAACCTCCACCTCCTGGACTCAAGTGATCCTCCCACCTCAGCCTCCTGAGTAGCTAGGACTAAAGGCATGCCACTGTACCCAGCTAATTTTTCTGTAGAGATGGGATCTCTCTATGTTGCCCAGGCTGGTCTCAAACTCCTGGGCTCAAGCAATCCTCCCGCCTCAGCCTCCAAAATTGCTAGGATTACAGGCATGAGCCACCTCACCCAGCCTGCCTGTTTCTTTTTAAAATGTGGCTTCTAGAGAAATTGTAGTTACATATGAGTTCATATTATGTTTCTACTGGACAGTACTGGTACAGCAATGAGCTGCTTGGATGGATGGAGTTATTAGAACCCCATTTCTTCTGTTCTCTTCCCCTTGAATCTTGCAGAATGTAGCACAGGCAAAAGCAGGGCTTGAAAAATCCCTGTCCAAAATAAAAGTCTTGGATTTTTCATCTGAAAGAGTCAGGTACTCCAGCTACCTCCACTTCCCACCCCTCAATGCAGATAAACAAAGTAAGCCCTGGAGTAAATTGAATGGTATCCCTTAAAGATCGACCAGCAAGAACAGCATTTTCCAAGTAGTTTGGGAACTTTTCTGTCCAAGCAGCGACTCCAAATATCTTTTTGTAATTAGCTTTTACTTTGATAAAACCGCTTTTGCTTCTGTCGCTCGCAGGTTCTTTCTCCTTTCAGGTCTGCCCTCATTTTCTCCAGCGACCTAATAATAGAGCAGTTCTGGGTTCCCCATCCATACAAAGGCCCTGGGGTTGGCAGAATCGAGTTAAAGTGGACAGGAAAGCACCAGAACCAAGGGATGTCCCTCTTCCGGGCTTCAGCTGGCTCAGCTCTAAGATGTGCCCATTTACCTCCTTATCTTGTGTTTGTTCTAGGGCAAAGGTCCAATGAAAGAAGAGACATGCGTGTAAGTCTTTTGTGGGTAAATCATTTGTCAGCAAATTGTGACTATTGGCCGGGTGCGGTGGCTCACACCTGTAATCCCAGCACTTTGGGAGGCTGAGATGGGCAGATCACCTGAGGTCAGGAGTTCAAGACCAGCCTGGCCAACATGGTGAAACCCTGTGTCTACTAAAAATACAAAAATTAGCAGGGCGTGGTGGCACAGGTCTATAATCCAGCTACTTGGGAGGCTGAGGCAGGAGAATCACTTGAATCCAGGAGGTGGAGGTTGCAGTGAGCCAAGATCGTGCCATTGCACTCTAGCCTGGGCAACAGAGTGAGACTCTGTCTCAAATTTAAAAACAACAACAGCAAAAAGAAAAACACTTGTGACGATTAATGGGTAAGAAGAATGAGCAAACGTTTTGGCACAAAATTCTCAAGGGGCTCGCCAACCTTCGACAGCAGGAGCTTTGAATGACAGGCTCTTGAGAGTCTGAGATCATCCAAGCCCGATTTTACAGATGATAAAACCAAGGCCACAGAAGAGGAGGGGAAGGGCCTGGTCCAAAGACCAGAAACTAAGATTGCAGAGGCCTAGGGAATGCAGTTTGTACCCAGTTAGTACTCCACACATCTTTGCTTTAAAATTTTCAAATAACATTCTTTTCTTATCACAATGCAGTATCTTTTAGAAATTTTTGAAAATACAGAAAAAATAGTCTATAATCCCCCCAACCAGAGATCGTCCTATCAACTGTTTGGCATCTTGTCCTTTTTCTACTTATGTGAACATAGCTGTATGTTTTTATTTTACAGAAATATGATATGACTACAATATTTTATTATTTGTTTTCTCCTCTCTGAATAAATAATAAACAGTTTTCCAAGGCAAATAATCCTTTTATACTATTAAT